CTGCTGGAGCCAACCCAGCAGCATCCCAGCTGCTCTGCCCCAGGCGTCCCCAAGTCAGCCGCTGCTGAAACTGACCAGCAGCTCTGCCCCCGGCTTCCTGGAATCAGCCGCTGATCAGTTTCAGCAGCAGCTGAATCTGGACGCCAGTTCCGACTTACATACAGATTCAACTTAAGAACAAACCTACAGTCCCTATCTTGTACGTAACCCGGGGACTGCCTGTATTAAAAAGCCATCTTTTGAGGATATTACAAATCAAGAAATGAACGTGTATAAGAATGCAATGTGTGACAACTCAGTGTTTCATGGTATAAACATTACCTGGGAATTTGTACTCTATCTTCTGAGAAATCCCACACTGAGAATAGTTAACAAGGGTACGGTATTTTTCCATTTTAAATTGCTGGGTTTTTATGGTTAACAAAGTTCTAGTTTTTTAACTATAGCAACCACACCCAAATAGTCTTATTTGTGTAGCAAGAAGAAGTCACTCCTAAGAATAGTAACAAAATTGTCCTCTGTATTTAGTTGCTAATCTGTTTGTCTTCTGTTTCAGTATTTTCAGAAGACCTTATTATACTTCCCACTTTATTCCTGCTCTACTCATGCCCCGTGTGGTTAGTAAATTTCTTATCCTTTCATTTAGAAGCATGATTTTGGATACTAAAGGCATTTCTGACTTGGCTGCTTTTTGTTACAGCTTCCTGAAACTCCAGATTCACACATGGTTTTTATAGATTCTTTAAAGAGGTATGAAAATAAAGCACTTAAGGCAAAGGCAGTTTCTGATTTTTCTAGACTGAGTTGGGAATGTTTGGCTATAGGATCAGGTTATCTGAGGCTCAGGCTCTGTGATACCTTGTTTGCAAAATGGTACCTACTAGCTATTGGCATGAATAGGATTTCTCACCCTCTGAGACACCTGGCTTCAGTTGGCAGGTATAGTGCCTTGCTGCTCGGAATGGGTTTGCTGCAATGGCAATATTTCAAGATTTACTTTTATGATTTGCTAGGCTAGTGTCCAAGGAGGACATGTCCCCTGATAAGGACTCAGTCAGTCTGAAATATCGACCTGGGAAGTTTTCTTGCCCAATTGTGGGAAAAGCCTGTTTTAAAACCAGTAGTTTTTCTGTAGCTAACTTTAACACACGCTTTCCTGTATGAATGGCTCCAAGTGAGCCATTCAGTTGTGTCTGTGTAAGACTTGGGGCTTGTCTACATGGTAAGATAATGCACTGTACAAGGGTGTGACTTCTAACGGATTGAGTACTAGCAAACTTATCCAGCATTGCCTGGGTCCTTCAGGGCAGGGGCCTGGCCGTGGGAGGGGTGCAGGAGTCAGGGCGGGGCTTTGGGATGTGTGTGTATGGGGGGGATGGGGCAGTGCAGGAGGCTGGGAGCAGGAGAGGTGCAAGAGTGAGGGTTGGGGGGGTGAAGAGGGGCTCAGGACGGGGCGGGTCCTATCCAGCATGGGTGCTCTCTCTCCCGAGTCCCCTCCCTCCCCAGCGCTGCAGCTAAGGGCTGGAGCGGTAGGGTTTTGGGGTAGGGGAGCTACTTACTAGTGTGATGGCAGGCAAGATGGAAGAGCCCCAGCCCTGCTGCCCCAATGGACACACTGTAAGGATAGCTCTTCCCTGTGGGCTTGCTGTTCCCAGTAGCCACTGTCATATTGCATCCTTCCAAACAGCAGCCCCTCCCTTCCATGTTATGGAAAACAGTCCTTTGCTGGGGCTTCCGGTTGTCCTGCACAACCAAACCTCGACCTTGCTTAAAGTTAGGAGAAGAGGAAGCTGCCTACTAAATTTGATTGCTCTAGTTCTTGCGTTTCGGAGTTCTTGATAAATATATAGATAGATTACTTATCCTTGTAGACCCTACTGGTATGCAATGTAGTGCTGTCTGAAACAGTACTATATTAAAGCTCACTATGGAATACTCAGTGTCCCCCATCTGGGTCTACATGGACCGAAAAGCACATGTTACTTCACTTTAGAACTCACATCCCCATAGAGCACATTACTGCACTGCGTGGACAAGCTCCTGGCTACATGTTATAGCTTAAATGGATTTAATTGGTCTAATCCTACTATAACAACTGTCATGAACCTTTAGTATTGTATACCTGCCTATCGGTGTACGGAGGTCATGCAGCCTTTGATCTCAGTCTTGCCCTGCACTTGATGAGTGTATTTGCTGTCCTGTAACTTCCCTCTTGTGTACTCTTGCCCACAGATATCATATAATATTGCTAATCTCTATGTGCAAATAACTCAGTCTTATGCCTGGCAGTATCATAAAAATGTTAAGTGCAGTGTCTGCTATATTGCTATTAGTCTATGGAAAAAATTATGTATGCCATATAGTTATGTGTTTTACTTTAACGAGTCTGAGCATTGAATGACGTTAAATGGTATAAACAAAAATATTTCTTATTGCAGAGCTGACAAAATCCCACCAAACTTATACTCGAGGTATCTCCAAGCCTGTCATTCTTTGAAAGAGAAACTGTTACAAGGTGAGAGAAATCTGTAGTTACTTAAGCATTAGTTTTAGAGCAATGACCCAAGATAAAACATATTTTCACGGGCCTTTTAGATGGGAATTTTTCCAAGCATTATAAATCAGATGCTTTACCTAATTATAGACAGCTGTGATTGGTGTTTTATTATTACTTAAAACAAAATATATTTTAGCTTGATTTGGAGTTTTATTAGGCTGTGTATTGTGTGTGTATTTGCTTGGATATCGATCATCTAAGGTGATAGGTGGAGTGGAAATGTGTAGATAAATATATGAGTGATTTTTGCTTTTCTGTAAGACTTTGGCCTCTGGATTTCTTCCTCCGCAGCTTCTCTAGCAGTCAGATGTGTACATATAATTCTGGTGAGAATTTTGCTGGCTTTTGACAGCAAGGTGATGCCCTGATGAGTGGCTGCAGGTTTTTCTGTCTGTCCTTTGTTTGACAAGTGGATGATGGATGCATATTTGTACTCTTGGGGTATAGTTCCTTGAGTCACACTGACTGGAAAAATGGAGTCAGTTTCAGAGCCTTGTGCTAGCAACTCAAGAGATCTGTTACAGGATCTGCTCCATGTGCTTTACTATTTGACAGCAGGTCAATCACTTTTCCAGTTTCAGTGGTCATTGGGGGATCTGCAAGAGATGTGTTAATATCAGTCTGAATCAGTTGAGGAGGCAATTGATCATGAATAGATGCTTGATACATTGTTACTGCAGTGGTGGGCAGAACACTGCATGTTTTTTGTCCATGAGTAATGTAGTACCATTGGCACTCAGTACAGGAAATGTTCCTGATGTCCATGGCCCATAGACGGTCCTCAGAGCACCATAGAAATTCTTTGTATTATTCCTCGCTGCATAGGACTGACTCATGCTTTGTTGCTTAGCCATGAGTTCTGCATTTCTCTAAGGCTGTGTCCAGACTCAGGGGTTTTTTCGAAAAAAGTAGCCTTTTTTCGAAAAAACCTCACCTGCGTCTAGACTGCAGCCATGTTCTTTCGAAATTAAATCGAAAGAACGCGGCTTTTCTTTCGATGGCGGTAAACCTCATTTCACGAGGAAGAACGCCTTCTTTCGAAAGTTCCTCTTTTGAAAGAAGGCGTTCTTCAATGTAAATAGGGCTTCTTCGAAAGAGAGCATCCAGACTCACTGGATGCTTTCTTTCGAAAAAGCAAGCCGCTTTTTCGAAAGTTCAACATGCAGTCTAGACGCTCTCTTTCGAAAGAGGCTTGCAGTCTAGACATAGCCTAAGTGATGCAGAAGACTGCTTTCTTAGATATGGATGTGCTGTCTCCTAAACAGGCCTTTGAGCTGATGTTGCTTGTTGAATAGTCTCCCTATGTCAGTATTGCTTTTATCAGACTAATCTTTCATCAAGTTCATCAGTGGCCGTTAGCCAGGATGGGTAGGAATGGTGTCCCTAGCCTCTGTTTCTCTGGGAATGGGTGACGGGGGAGGTATCACATGATGATTCCCTGTTGTGTTCCCTCCCTCTGGAGCACCTGGCATTGGTTACTGTGGGCAGACAGGAAACTGGGCAGACAGACAGGACCTTTGGTCTGACCCAGTGTGGCTGTGATTATATTCTGAATCTTGATGGTTATACGTGTTGGAACCATAGGTACTGGATGCAGCTAATACAGTCTTTAATGCATGCCCAATTTTTCTTGATGTTACTAGTGTAATAATTGATGCAAACAAGGCCAGTTCTTCAGCAATCACCTGTTCCACATTATTTTAATTTGGCTATATTAAGCTTTCTGGGTGCTTTCTGTGCCTTGCTGTCAACCACTAGGATCTATGCAGGTATTCAGCGTGGAGAGTGTAAGCCTGGGATGAGTCCAGAATTCTGCACTTCAGGCCTTTGTCGTTGTAAGTCCGCCTGTCTGGTCTCCTGATGATGACCGTTGATATGCTGTGCTTTAAGCACAGACGCATCCAAGTAGGAACATTTAGCTGGCCCTTGTGGGGGAGCTGGGTGGGGCCAGGCAGTGGGACCTAGGTTGAAAATGGGTTAACCGTTTTAATGTCCCTACATCCAAGACCTCTTGTCAGAGTTCAGCAAGTGGAAAACTGTATTGGTGTTGGGCAGATTTCCTCAGCAAGAGGAGCCCGTCTGCTTACCTGGTAAGCATCAGTCTTATCAGGATAACTGGTTAACCGGCTTCCCAGCCAGAGCTGCCTGTGACGTGGTGCAGCAGGCCACTCCAGCCCGGCCGTGTCTCTAGTGATAAGTGGAACCTTGATTTCTTTTGTGATTGGGACTGTTTTGTCTGTTTCAATGTACCCAGCCAGAGATTTTTGTCGAGTTCTTGCTTTCTTGTTTGAGAAGAATCTGAATACTTAGTAAAACATTTCAGAAATACAAAATTAAATGCTAATGTTTTCCCAGCCTTGCTGGGAGAACAGATACTTCATAGGATCACAGCAATGAAGGGCTGGGAGAGACCTTGAGAAGTCTAGTCCTGTCCTCTGCACTGATTTAGGAGCAAGTAAACTAAACAATTCCGCTGTGTAGGAAAGATAGAAAATATGGCAAAAGACCAGCTTGGCTTAACAAGGAGATCTTGCATGATCTCAAAATAAAAAAGGAGTCATATAAAAAATGGAAACTAGGACAACTAACAAAGGATGAATATAGGCAAGCAACACGGGAATGCAGGGGCAAGATTAGAAAGGCAAAGGCACAAAATGAGATCAAACTAGCTACAGGCATAAAGGGAAACAAGAAGACCTTTTATAAATACATTAAAAGCAAGAGGAAGACCAAGGACAGGGTAGGCCCACTGCTTAGTGAGGAGGGAGAAGCAGTAACAGGGAACTTGGAAATGGCGGAGATGCTCAATGACTTCTTTGTTTCGGTCTTCACCGAGAAGTCTGGAGGTGTGCCTAACGTAGTGAATACAAGCAGAGAGAGGGTAAGTTTAGAAGATAGGATACACAAAGAACAAGTTAAAAATCACTTAGGAAAGTTAGATGTCAGCAAGTCACCAGGTCCTGATGAAATGCATCCCAGGATACTCAAGGAGCTGATAGAGGAGGTATCTGAGCCTTTAGCTATGATCTTTGAAAAATCATGGCAGACAGGGGAGATTCCAGAAGACTGGAAAAGGGCAAATATTGTGCCCATCTATAAAAAGGGGAATAAGAACAACCCAGGAAATTATAGACCGGTCAGTTTAACGTCTGTCCCAGGGAAGATAATGGAGCAGGTAATTAAGGAAATCATATGCAAACACTTGGAAGGTAATAAAGTGATAGGGAATAGCCAGCATGGGTTTGTGAAGAACAAGTCATGCCAAACTAATCTGATAGCTTTCTTTGATAAGATAACGAGCCTTGTGGATAAGGGAGAAGCGGTGGATGTCATATACCTAGACTTTAGTAAGGCATTTGATACGGTCTCGCATGATATTCTTATTGATAAACTAGGCAAATATAACTTAGATAGGGCCACGATAAGGTGGGTGCATAATTGGCTGGATAACCGTAGTCAGAGAGTTGTTGTTAACGGTTCTAAATCCTGCTGGAAAGGGATAACAAGTGGAGTTCCTCAAGGGTCTGTTTTGGGACCCGTACTGTTCAATATCTTCATCAATGATGTAGATATTGGGATAGAGAGTACTCTTATTAAGTTTGCAGATGATACCAAACTGGGTGGGGTTGCGACTTCTTTGGAGGATAGGGACATAATTCAGAATGACCTTAGCAAGTTAGAGAAATGGTCGGAGGTAAACAGGATGAGGTTTAATAGAGAGAAATGCAAAGTGCTCCACTTAGGAAGGAACAATCAGTTCCATACATACAAGATGGGAAGCGACTGTCTAGGAAGGAGCATGGCGGAAAGGGATCTAGGGGTCATAGTGGACCACAAGTTGAATATGAGTCAACAGTGTGATGCTGTTGCAAAAAAAGCAAATATGATTCTAGGTTGTATTAACAGGTGTGTTGTAAGCAAAACTCGTGAAGTCATTCTGCCGCTCTACTCTGCGCTAGTTAGGCCTCAGCTGGAGTACTGTGTCCAGTTCTGGGCGCCACATTTCAAGAAAGATGTGGAGAAATTGGAAAGGGTACAGAGAAGAGCGACAAGAATGATTAAAGGTTTAGAGAACATGACCTATGAAGCCAGGCTTCATGAACTGGGCTTGTTTAGTTTGGAAAAAAGAAGATTAAGGGGGGACATGATAGTGGTTTTCAAATATCTAAAAGGGTGTCACAAGGAGGAAGGAGAAAATTTGTTCCTCTTGGTTTCTGAGGACAGGACATGGAGTAATGGGCTTAAAGTGCAGCAGGGGAGGTTTAGATTGGACATTAGGAAAACATTCCTAACTGTCAGGGTGGTCAAATATTGGAATAAATTGCCAAGGGAGGTGGTGGAATCTCCCTCTCTGGAGATATTTAAGAACAGGTTAGATAGACATCTGTCAGGGATGGTGTAGACGGAGCTTGATCCTGCCTTGAGGGCGGGGGGCTGGACTCGATGACCTCTCGAGGTCCCTTCCAGTCCTATTATTCTATGATTCTATGATTCTAGACCATCCCGGACAGGTGTTTTTCCAACTGGTTATTACAAATCTTCAATGATGGGGTTACTACACCCTACCTGGGAAGCTTATTCCAGAACTTAACAATCCTTATTTGTCAAGTTATCTAAAACTTTTGTCAATGTTGTTTCTCTCCTTTGGACTCTCACGCCTCACGCGTGGGGCCTCACCTGGGCTGAGTAGAGCCAGGCAGTTACATCCTGTGTTTTTACATAGGGATGTTAAAATGCGGGTAATTGGGTAACCATTTAACCACTGAAAATTTCAGCAGTCACACACACCCGCTGGCTCCCTGTGTGACCTGGCACCCGCCTGCTGTCCCCTCCCAGGGATCAGAGGCAGCAGCACAGGGTGTCAATCAGCTTCCTGGGAGTGGGGCATGTAACTGTGTAAACAGGTATCCTATAACATCCCTAGTTTTACATATGACACTGTTACAATACCCCAGGATTGTTAGCCTCCAGAGTCTCTTTAGCAGTTCAGCCACCTAGCCAGTTATTCCCCATTTTTGTAGTAGAAGGTTTTAATTTTTTTTCCTTCCTAGTTGTAGTGTGGGAATGTAGGACTCGAGCCCCGGTTCGAGAATGTAGAATTCTCTAAGATTTTGAATTCTAATCCTGTCCTCCAATGTGCTTGCTTGCAACCCCTCTGCAACTTGGTGTGATCAGCCACGTCTATAGCATGTTCTCCACTTTGCTATCCATGTCATTAATTAACATATTGAATAGTACTGGACCACATTGGCTAACCCTTCAAGTCTGGAAGCTAACCATTCGTAACAACTCTTCGAGTGCGGTCTTTCAGTGAGCTATGCACTACTTAACGTTGTAGTAATTTTACCTAGACCACATTTTCTTAGCATACTTATGAGAATTTCTGGATGCTGGAAGCAAAGGAGAATAGGAAAGAAAATATGAAGTAAGATTTCATTTCTTGGTCTGAAAGTTAAATTCCTTCCTGAACTGGACATGAACTCATACCTGACTAGTCAAAGTAGCTTTGTGAGGATAAAAATGATTGTGTGCATTGTGGCAGATCTGTATTATATCTGTGTACTAGTTTATGTCCCAAAGTGACTTCTGCTTTCACACTAACCCTAAGTGGAGGTCAGTGAGTCATTGCGTTAGGTTTTGTGTATTTAAGCTTGTTGTTTTCACTCACTTGAGTCTGGTGAAGCCTCAGCTGGAATACTAGGTCCCGTTTGGCTGCCACACTTTGAGAGATGTGGACAAACTGGAGAATGTGTGGAGAAAAGGGGCACAAATGATAGGAGGGTTAGAAAACCTGACCCATGAGGACCCTGGGTATGTTTGGTTTTGAGAAAAGAAGATTTGAAAGGACCTGATGAGCCTTGAATAATTAAGTACTAGAATATAGGTTACTGAATGAGGCTGGGGATTCCCTGTCCCCTGGAGGTTTCCAAGAACAGATTGAACAAACATCTGTCAGATAATCTCTTGAGGTCCCTTTCAGCCCTCTATTGCTAGTATTCTAATAGAGATCAATCATTTAGAGCACCCTCTCTTCTCTTTCTATAGAAGGATCAACAGAAACAGAGCCTGCTCATCTCAAAGAGCCTATCGAACAGCTGAAAGCTGAACTGGACGAACTGAGAGTGCTGATGACAGACCAAAGCAAACATGATGGTATGTAAGGAGGCATGTAGCAGTTGCCTTTAAAGCAACGTTCACATAAGAATGCTCGCAGAAACAGCAGTGTCCTACTTTATGCCAAAGGATTGTAACCTCTCTGATTCATAGAATTTGTCCAGATTTGAGGTTTTTTGTTCGTTTGTTGAGAGTGCCTAATGAGCTTCTGACGGTTAAGCTTTAACTTAAAAAGAATGTCAGTAAAGCTCCCATGACAACTCACTCATCTCTGTCAAATGTTTGAGGGGCTCACCTCAACTCCTGTTTGTGCTTGTAACAGCTGCTAGGCGGTGTAGTGTTGGAGACAAGGGAGCTGCTACTGGGGGCTCTCCCGGTGATGGAAGATGAAATATAGTTCTTGTCACAAGTCCCTGATGAAAGTTAAAGATCCCATTAATTTTTTTTAAAAACAAGTGATAATTATTGTGTACTGACTTCCGTTCTTGTGAGCAATGAAGTGAGTTCTAATCTCCTTAGCACTGTGTGAACGATTATAGAGTGCATAGCATTTGCTCCATTACCTGCTCCATCACTTCACTTGTGCCGCTACCTAAAGCACTTGGAGATACTGTATTTCATAGTTTGAGGTTTGTGAAAACAATTCTAAATCTATACAGTTGGCTTTTTACTGGCAGTCAGGAGGGATGGTCAAACTTTTATTTGTGGTGAAATCCATCATTCTAGCAAATGAAAGAAGTTGCAGTGGCTGAAACATAATACATAAAACTTCCATCGATTTAGAGGACAGTATATAATAATGTGGTGGCTGTTTAAAATTTGGGATTCATGTTTAACACCCCAAACATCCTAGTAATTTACCCCTAAAGATGTAAATATGCCCCGCACTCTGCAAGCAGGGTGGCAAGAACTTTTGACTTGGTTTGGAAGAGGATGGAAAGGTCTCTGCTTGTGTGACAGGGGTCAAACTTCCATCGATTTAGAGGACAGTATATAATAATGTGGTGGCTGTTTAAAATTTGGGATTCATGTTTAACACCCCAAACATCCTAGTAATTTACCCCTAAAGATGTAAATATGCCCCGCACTCTGCAAGCAGGGTGGCAAGAACTTTTGACTTGGTTTGGAAGAGGATGGAAAGGTCTCTGCTTGTGTGACAGGGGTC